CACCCCCCTGCCTTCTGCCCCCTGCCCCCTGCCTGTGCATGGACCTGCCAGGATTCCAGGCCACAAGCCAGATGTGTCTCCTTGAAGGATGGGGAAACCGCTCTCTCTGTCTCTGGGGAGAACTGGTCGTAGGCCCGGCTTTGCCTCCAGCCGCTATGTGACCCAAGGCGACCATTTCTCTCTCCCTAACCTCAATTATCTCATCCGTGAGCAGGTTGGACTGAACAGGCAGTGCTCAGATAATTATTTGTTATAGATGTGGAATTATTTTGTTATGCAAACTCTATATGCGACCCTAGTGTACAAACTAGATTTAAAGGGAGTCCCTCTGGTTGAAGAGGGGTGCTGAGGAACTCAGAACAGGAACTCGTTCGAATACATATGTTTTTATGTTGATGGAGGAAAAATAAAACTCACCTACTGAACGGCGATTTCATAGGTATGCCATTCATATAAAGTTTGTTTTAGAAACACATTTTAGGTGAAAAAGGGTTGATTAAAAAATAATAGCAACCCAAGTGGGACACAGATAAGTCCGCAAGTCATGAAGGTGATATGTGACCGACTTGGGGAAATGTCCTAATTCTGTTCAAATACCCTCCCCCCTCCCACCTTCAGGATGTTCCAAGAGGCAGCCACCCAGAGAAGCAGAAATGTCAACTCCCTTTTCCCCCCAGGCTGCCCATGACATTGATCTCCATCTTCTGTCCCTCCATGTCCGTGCTCAGGCCCTGGCTGACTTTCCAGCCTGGGGTGGCCCAAGTGATGGGTAGGACCCTCCCTTCCCCTCGTGGGGCTCTCCGCAAGCTGGAGCTCATTCCTCTTGCCCCTTGTTTTCTCTCTCCTACCCTTGGATTTTTACTCTTTGTACTTCCCCCACACCCAGCTGATGTGAAGACGCAAAGCCCAGAAGAAAGAGCATCTTAGAAAAGATGATCACAACTGCTGCAGCCTGTGTCTCTCCCCAAGTTCTTGGACAGGAATTCCTAAAGTTGGGGTATGCAAAGAATGGGAATGGGGCCCACCTGTCCCAGACTGCCCCCCTTCCCAACTGGTGTCACAGCCCTCAAGAGGGAGTTAGGTTAGACGAGGGACGGTCAGGACGCTGGCCACAGTCAATGAGTCGCACAGCTGTGGCACCACCCCCCACGGCGGAGCCAGCAGGGGAAGTAAGGGTGTTGGGCAGCCTCTTCTGAATAGACACCGATTTCCTCCGGATAAATGAGGACTTTCTATAGCGCCATACCTTCTCTTAGCATGTTTTATTATAATGATGCTTAGCCTGTGAGTTCCTTGGGGGTAAGGACTACCCTTTTCTTGGCATGTCTAATATCTAGCATTCATACCAAGGAGGTGTTCAATAAATGCTTGTGGAAGGGAGGAACAATCAACGCACCACACAAGTAGGCTCCGGGGTTCCGGGGTGCGGGTTCGGTGTGTGATCGCGGCACCCACGTGGAGGCTGCGGCCACCGGGTCTGTAGGATTCCATCAGAGTCCGTGAAAGCCCAGCTCTGCGTCAGAGCTCCCCGCTCTAGAAGAGTGGGACTCGAGAGAAACTCGGTGGGAAAAGCTGGGCCTAGGGACGGCCCCAGGGCCGCCCGGCAGGGGGCAGTCACCACCAGCTGAGTCCTGCTCAGGGTTCAGGAACCATCCTTCCCGACTCCCACCCCGGCCCATCTGCCGCCACCGTGCACCCCAGAGGGGCGACCTGAGCTTTGAGTTCAGGAGCCTATATCTAGCATGACAACAATGATGACCCCAGGCACCAACACGCATCCCCTCCCCAGCAGCCGGGCGGTGGGCTCAGCCTGCCGCCTCAGTCTCCCCGCCGCCGGCCCCTTCCCCCTCCTCTTCGTGCTCGCCGTTCTGGAGCCTGCGCACGATGCGGGTGAGGTCCAGGCTCCGTGTCAGCGTGTCCAGGAGCATCTGGTCCCTCTGGACGCCCTCGATGAACTCCTCCAGGGAGAGTTCCCCTGGGGCAGAGAGAAAGGGAGTCACGGGGAGGAGGTGCTCGCGTCTCCCTGGCAGCGTTGTACCGGGGACCAGAGCTGGAGTCTTGCGAGGGGGACAGAGCCAAATGCTAGGGGAAGTGGCTGCGAGGGGAGCAGGCAAAGCAGCCAGAGACCACAGTCCGGTCCAGGGGGCCCTAAAAGCCAACCCTTGTGGCTGGGGCAGGGGCGGCTGGAGGATGTGGCCTCCCTCTGCCCTCCCGCCCCTCTGCCCTGGCCGCCCCCGTCCGGGCCTCCTCACCATCCCCATTGACATCAATCTTGGAGAACACTGTATTGGTGAACTCTTCTGCACTCATGGTCGTGTCGCTGCAGGGGTTAATGGCTCGGATGGCCTGGGGAGAAAAAGAAGTGAGGGGGCCCGTCCTAGTTCTGTCTCCGCGGTACCCGAGCAACAGAGTGGGCACTAGAGGCAACGAGGGGATTTAGGAGTTTGCCTCTTGGTACAGATGGAGGAAACAGAGGCCCAGAGAGTGGATGGCACGTGCCCCGGGTCAGGCAGCTGGTCAGGGCCACAGCTGCTCCCCACCCC